TGTGATGATATCTATATCTGGCCACATATAAGACGTCTTATTTGTTTCTGCATCTGACTTGGGAAACTAAGCAGATAACTTTCTGAAGACGAAGAAAATCCGAGAAGCAGAAGAGGCTGCTCGCAGGTCAAGGATAACTAAGGTGCTAAGCTATTTCTTTGCAGATGAATTTGTTACTCTTTGAAGTTTCTATATATTTATACTCTCCTATGATGCAAAGTTAATTTTTTTCACATCCCTGCAGGCTGTCATTAGAGTACGTTTTCCTGACAATTACACTCTTGAGGCTGTATTTCACCCAACGGAGCAGATTCAAAGCTTAGTTGATCTTCTCATGAAAGTAATTATTCATCCTGAAGTGCCATTTTATATATGTAAGGATTTGCAGTGTTTAATGTAATTTATTCTTGTTCAAGGTTATACAGTACCTTATGAAGTATTTAAGATGGTGAAGCTGGTGTAACTGTGGTTAAGATTTTTGCTTTTCAGATACTACTCCTCCAAGAAGCAGATAAAAGACACCTCACAGGACTTTTATTCTGCTGGTTTTTTGCCCGGTGCTATTGTGTATTTTGCATATGATGATGCACAAGGTCTGTACGTGTTATAATTCTAATCTTACTTTTGCATTAAAGTTATGATTACAGAAGTCAAATTTAAGCTGGTTACCGTTGCCATTGGTCTTAAATCTTCTAAAACTGCATGTTGCCCTGTTGTTCTTAGTATGGAAATTTTTTATGCTTATGCATAATTCACAGTTGGTGATCATTTGTTTGGAGTTTTAACTTATTCCTTTTTGGAAAGAGAAGGGGTGGGGTACTGTTAATACTTAAAATATTTTTTGCAAGACATTTAGCAATACCAGCACTTTGGAACACTTCCATTAGTTTGAGTACTGCTTATTTTCCACTTTACCTATTATCTGGATGTTGATGAAGTGCGATAGGGCTGAAAATTGTTGCAAACATGATGGTCAGTTCACCAAAAGAGAGTTAAGGAGTAAAAGACACTGGAGTAGGTCACGTAGTGGCATGAGTTGGGACGCATCTGAATATGCGGCTCATCTGCCCTGAGAGTGATTATACGGGTTTGCTGGATTATCTGCTCGTATATATTCAAAGTGTGCAATATAGGTTGCACTGATTGTCCACTGCCATGTTGTGAACTGATCAACTAGTATTAATTGAGTAATTCATCTAGGATCTTGGAAATTTTGCTTAATTGGTATAGCTATAACTTAAAATAGATAGTGATGAATGGCATCCGACTTCATCATTATCGCCTGCAGCTGATGCTGATCTGGGGCAGCCGTCTTTTAAGTGAATATAGGCTGTGGGCCATGTAAAATTTGAAGTGGTTTGTTGGCTGATCATACGAATCTGGATAGTGATCACTTTCTGAACCCGCAGTTATTTCTTGACTAAGTTAAAAAAAGACCCATCAGACAGTGGGCTTTTGCAAGTTGTTGAAGGAACTTATTTTGAAGGCAAAATGGCTGGTTTTGCATCATCGGTTTATAGTAGGAAATGTTGACTGTGGAAATGTTTGGAGTCGATGTTTGTGTTCACCTGTTACTTTCTGTTTGTGAAGTACCTTCCCCCCCCCCCCCCCTCTCTTCTCACACGTTCTCTTTGCTGATACAGGATCTGCGTTTATATATTCAATTTGTGGTTTCACATGCTTTTCTTGTTTCCAGGTGACGCTGCTGCTGCAGCTTCGGGGCCATTCCTTCAAGAGGAGGTCATGTCTTTGCAAGGCCTGGACATCACAGATGAGCAGCAAGAGTCTGCCCACTCCAGCAGAGGTTGTAACGTCCAATCATGTTGATGCTGCTGTTCCCCAGCAAGCCTGCTGATAAGAAGAGTATCAAGCCAAAGTGGTTGAAAATGTGATATAAATTAATCGCCTCTTTGCTGAGATCTAGATAGCTTGATCCATGTATATGTATGAAAATCACTTAGTTGCTTGCTGTTAGAGAAAAGGGGGAAGGGAACTTGTCCATATGCCTCCCAAACATGGCATCTGGCTGGTCGTGATGAATTTAATAATTTGTTCATGATGGCTGCCAATTCTAGTCTGCTTTTGAGGTGGCTCAGCTTCGTGTTCCCTTAATTTTTCTGCTGGATTTGGAGGGTGTTTTAGGCTCCGTTTGGGGTTGTGTTTTTTTTTTTTTTAAGAGAGTGCTTTTTAGTACTAAAAGTATTTTTTAGAGTATTTGATAACTAATTTCTCGGAACTGAAGGAGCTCAATTTTTGAAAATTTAAAAGTATTTTAAAAAAAAAAAATTGTGTCAAAAGTATTTTTTTTTTCTTTATAAATTACTGTAACCGCAAATGGGGTCTTAATTATGGTCAAAGGGTCAGTGATAAATAAGTGGTAGAAACATACGCGACTTGTGTACATGTGTTGGGTTGGGTGTGCCGTAATACACGGTCCAACAAGACCATTATAGCTAATTGCTTAGATTGAGAAATTTGATAAGAAGTTGGTTGCAGGGAAAGAAATAAATGGAATCAGTCAATCACGCAGGCAGGCTGGCTGGCTGGGCCGATGTTGGTGGAGAGGTGGCAGGCTTGAATTTGATATAGACGGATTCTAGGGTGATCCAAAAGATGGCCCACCTTGTCAAAAAAACAAAATGATTGGGGTACCAAGCGCTGACAGACCAACGTTAACCCACACACCATTCTGAAAGTTACTGCCTCTGTCTGCATTCGGATTTTTGTCTTTTCTTTTAGAAAAAAAAAAAAAAAACTCTCCCCGGTCCCGTTATTAAAATTTAATTAAAAACTTAAGGTAAAAATTTTAAATACTTATGGGATTAGGTGGATACTGTACGACCAAACCCCGTGCTTTTGGACTGACGCGTATAGAAAATAATACTAATAAGGTCCTTGGATGGAATGTCGTGGACCTCGTGCCCTTTGATATTTTCATATTTTCAATAAACCAGTGTACAATTTTGTGGGAATTAGGGTGTTGCTTGTGGCTATAATTTGAGGGGGAAAGGTGTAAAGGGGTGACGGTCCCGTATATTTTTAGTTTAAAAGGGAAATCAAGTGTATTTTTCGATTTTGTTTTTGAAAATATGCTCACATGAGAGGGACGTGTTATTTTCAGTCAGAGAAAATGAGCAAATACGAGCATTATGATCAAAATGAATCATAATTTATATGTTAGGAATTATTCTTGCTGATTTTAAATGTTAGGGCTAAAAAATTTTTTTTGTAAATATTATGGACTAATTTGGCAAATTTCCCAATAATGTTAGGCAATAGATGCTTTGGTGTCGTAAATTTGAGCAGAGCACACAAGCGGCAAACGGGGAAACGACATGGGTATGAGAATTATCGGATCAAGTTCGCAAAGGAAAGAAGTACGAGTTAACCAACTAATTATGCGTGCAATTTATAATAATAATAAGTAGTAGTAGTAGCATAATTGTTTGCAAAAAATTAACCCCCCAAAAAACTTTTCATTTGCTTATAGAAATCTATTGTACTCATCAATGATTAAATCTTTCCGCTTGTTTGAGATGGTAAGTATACTACATTTGTTAGTTACTAGTCCAACTTTCAGTACTCCCTCCGTCTCACTTTGATAGTCTCGTATTCTTTTTTCATCTGTCTCGAATTGTAGTCAACTTTCCAATTGAAGAATGTAGTTGTATTTTAATTTTCCTAAAATACCCTTATTCAATGTAAGTAGTTATTACTATAAACCTATCCCATTTAATGAGAGTTGATTCATTTTTTACCATCAATTCAAGTTTCCATAAAGTTATACCATATTTAATGTGAGGGTATTTTAAGAAAAAATAATCTAAATTTACTTTTCCAACAAAGTTAACTACTTTTTCTTAAACTGTGTGAAAAAAGAAATGGGACTATCAAAGTGGGACGGAGGGAGTATGATTTATATGAAGTGCTAAGTGGGGAAGTGTTAGGTGCAGAATTTGTGGTGTGTGTTAGGTGATGTGCAAGGTGTACCTTCACTAATCCTTTGATTAGCATGTTGTATGTTATTGGTCATCGATCGGCAACACAATAAATAGTACTCCTATAATGTATGGAAAGAAGTTTGGATTTTGACGTTTTCATCATTATCAATCCCCAAGTAAATGTGTATTATTTGGACAGTGTATTATTTAAAATAATTAGTGTAACGCTTTTTATAATCTGATGTATGTGAGATAAAAAGGTGATTGAAAATATAAAAATGTGAGTTGAAGAATGTGTTTATAATGCATGTAAAATATTATTTTTTAAAAAAATTGACTTCCAAATTGCAAGGAAATGTGTCAGGGGATGAGGAAAATTTATTGGTTTTATTTTCCTTTATATGTGTGTTTGTTTAGCGAGAAAGTTCAAAAAATTTCTTGCATTTTATGTCCGGTAAAATTTATAGTACAATTTTAAAAGAAAATAGTTACCAATAATTACACTTTAGTAGCTTCCAATAATTACCATTGACTTCTCATTTTATTTCAAAAAAATTTTTTGCACGAGGAAATAATTTTTATTTTCTAGTATCTCACGTTCTTCTACTTTTCTTTCTCACGCAACTTACCCTCCATTCAAACAAGAGCACTCCGCACGAGGATATAAAGGGAATAAACATTAATCCGAGATGTAGAAACTCCCAAGTATAGACACGTAGGCAGCCAGCATCCTCATTAGCACTGGTATATTATTTGCGTCGTCGTCGACGTCGACGGCGGCTAAGTTAATAGTGGGTTTGTTTGGATTTTGAATTATTAGAAATATTTTTACTGTAGCACTTTTTGTGATGTGATGTATGTGAGATAAAAAGGTAATTAGAAAGATAAAAAGGTGCGTTGGAAATTGTAATGATGATGTAAGCAAATATATTTTGACAAATAAACCGCAATCCAAACAATTTAAGTATTTATTTATAGTACTTATTACTGAGAGGAGAAGAGCAAATTAAAGTCAAAGGGAGGCACCGTAGAAAGCATCCATTAACATCAGCGCTGATCACAGAATTTCGCCTCAGCAGACACCGCTGACACTAGCTCTTATTCAACTACAAAGCACCTTCAAAAGTCTTCCGGTTACCCCAATCCAAAAGGCCATGACTGCTGTTACTACTTGCTAGTCCAATATCCATCACCACCCCCCTCCCCCCGGGCCCCCCTCCCGGACTTGCAATTCTCGGATTCAATCCGCACAATTTCTGCTCTTGTTCGGTTGTATCAAACCCGAAAACAGAAGGGGAGCGAAAGGAAAAAGAAAAAAAAAGGTCTTTACCTGCCAACTACCATCCTCGACTAATTTTGTACGGCAATCCAGGCCCCATTTTTTCTTTTTCTGCTATAACTACTTTCCCCGTTACTGGTAAGCATTAGTTGCAGAATAGAATTTAAAAAATATATATTGAAATTTTCTCATTTCCATGTTTTGATGATCCCCTCCTGCACATGCCCAACAACTTCATCTCGCTTTCAGCGTCTACTTTTTGGCTGCCCGTCTTAATCTCTACAGCTCCCTTATCCTCATTTTCTCTATCTTCATTTTTTATCTTTTGATGCGATCCGAAGTGAGTTTGTACTGAGTGTTTTCCAGTTGGATCAGGTATGGCTTAATTCTGCTGATTAGAACTAATAATAATTACAAAAAGAAAAAGAACGTAGGCTGTAATATTAATCAGCCTGCGCACGATGCAGGTTCTCAAATTCTGATTTCGTCATTGTCTTTTCCTTTTCTTGTATTGTTTTCTGTGGGTGCGGGATCGGGGGGGGGGGAAATGTATCTGTATGTAGTTCTCTTGTTTGGTGGATTGGACTGGGGAGTTGGAGAGTGAGCAATTCTGTTGCTGGTGTTCTCGTTAAATAAAAGAGGAAAATTTTGAAGGGATTCATGCCTTTATGTAGACACAAGTGGCCTTACACCTAGCATAGCATAGCATAGCAGGAGCTGTTAACTGCTTCGATTGAATTTTCCATATCTTTGTTGTTCAAAACAGCTTCGGCTTGGTCACAAATTGGTTTTGTATTGCTGTAGATAAGTGGAACTGAGCATACTTGAAATTGTTAAGAGGTGAGCTATTTTGGTTCCCCACCTGCTTCTGGAGATCTGAAAATGGCATCAGCTGCTTGGAGCATTGAAAAAGAGCTTCTTTTAAGACCGAGTCCCCCGTAGGAGACGATGATAATGTGCCTGATACTGGCTGCCTCTCCATTATTGTTCTTGGTGCTTCTGGTGATCTTGCCAAGAAGAAGACTTTCCCTGCACTTTTCAACCTTTATCGTCAGGTTTGGCGCTTTTTTTTCCCCTTTTTTTTTTTTGATGGATAGCTTACTACATTTGCTCGTCAATATGGTCTGGTAATGATATGTGCCAAGATTTCAAGTGCATTCCTAAAGTTGCTTCCTTTCCTTTTCTATCTGAATAGATAAATATAAAATAGATAGATATGCCCCCTTTTTCATGGAAGCAAAGGGCTACATATATTGGTCTCTTCTTAGATCTTCCAGTAGCAAGAACCTCATGTTTTAGTTTGCTCGTAATATAGTTTGAGTTGAGGCATCATTTTGGCAATAGATGATATCACTACATATTTCAGATATTGATTTTTATATGCTATGGGTGAAAGAGAGTTGTGTTATGCTAAGTCAAGATTTTGGTCGGACTGTTCACAGGGATTCTTGCCTCCAGATGAAGTTCACATTTTTGGATATGCAAGGACCAAGCTTTCAGATGATGACTTGAGAGATCGTATCCGTGGGTAAGATTTTGTTCTCGAAATTTCCTATGTTACTTCCTGAATTTAAGAAGACTTAGGATCAAGTACATCTGTTCTCGCATTATGCAATTGTCAACTCCTCTTGCTTCTACAGTTTGTCTTGCGCGTTGTACAAGTTATCGCTTTGCCAAATAATTTAACATTCGTTACTTTTGAGCTTTGCTCTTATTTAATTCTCATCATTGTTTAGAGAGGTGATGCCAAGCTACATTTGAGCTTTTTGCTTATTCAGCCTTTCTCAATGCATTATAGCACCTGATCTTGTTAGCTTTGAACCAATAGAGTAAACACGCTGCAGGTACCTGTCCCATGGCAAAGATAATGGTGAAGAATTATCAAAATTTTTGCAATTGGTTAGTATATATGCTATAAATGAAATTTAAATTTTTCATTTTACTGTAGATGCCTGCTAATAATTGTTTTTGTAGATCAAATATGTAAGTGGAGCCTATGATGCTGAGGAGGGTTTCCGAGCATTGGATAAGACAATATTTGAGCATGAAGTGTCAACAAAAAGTACAGAAGGATCTGCTCGAAGACTCTTTTACCTTGCTCTTCCTCCATCTGTGTATCCTCCTGTCTGCAAAATGATCAAGCTTTATTGTACAAATAAATGTATGTACTTCAGCGTCTTTCTTCTCTACCATGCATTCATCTTGTAGGGTCTTGCTCTGGAATTTATGCCCCATTTGGTTCAGGTGTACCGTCCTGTTAGAATAATTAGTTAAACTTGATTTGCTTGGAGATAACTGTGAGTGTGGATGGAAAAGAAGCCCAAAAACTCTCCCTATGTTGCTCCTGTAGTTTCCTGTTTAAAGCAAATTTTCAACCCTTGTACAAAGCAAGTTATATGGTAGGTTGATAAAGCTCCATGCATTGTCCCATCCAATGTGAAAATGCATTGGTGCTTCTTCTTCTTGTCTTTTGTTTCCCAGCTGAATTTTACCTGATAAAAACTCTAGAGACCACTTATTGGTGCTTGGCCTGTCATTTTAATTGCAACCCTAAGAGTTGTTCATCTTTTGTTCACTTCTTGGTGTTACTCATTCTAGCTGATCTTGGTGGCTGGACTCGCATTGTTGTTGAGAAGCCCTTTGGCAAGGATTTGGCTTCAGCTGAGCAACTCAGTTCCCAGATTGGTGAATTATTTGATGAGCCCCAAATTTATCGTATTGATCATTATTTGGGAAAGGAATTGGTACAGAACTTGGTAATGCACATTCCAACACTGTCTATATTTTCTTATCCCAGTTGAGCAATGGCCATATGCTAATCCTGATTTATCGTGGCAAATAATGTAGTTGGTACTCCGTTTTGCTAATCGCTTCTTTTTGCCACTCTGGAATCGTGACAACATTGATAACGTGCAGGTGAGATTCCTCTCTTGCAATCTCTTGCTTTCCCTCTCTCTCTCTCTCTCTCACACACACACACACATGTATACATACATGTCTCTATCTGTGTTTGTGTGCCCATCAACAGTAATCAATCACTCTCTTGGTTTCCAAAATCAGAAATTGGCTTTGGTATTCGAATAGTTTAATTTTTTGGCTTTATTCTTGAGATTGCTGCTACATATTTCTCTCTTTTGCTTCAAGTACTTTGACAGTGAGAGTACATAAATCCTTTTCTTTCTATTCTTTTGAAGATTGTGTTCAGAGAGGATTTTGGAACTGAAGGTCGAGGTGGATACTTCGATGAATATGGGTATGCCACGTGGAAACCCACTGTTCCACTATTGACACTTGGAAATTAAACTCCCACAGTTAATTATATTTCCTCATTTGAAAACTTTGGCTAAACCAGGTTTCTCTTCCAGAACGATTAGAATTACTAATTTTAGATGAGTTCATGTTATAGAAGTTAATATACAGATCAGAAACTGTTGTTTTCTTTGTTTGTTAGAATGCTTAGAATTACTAATGCCTATCTCTTTGATTTTGTTTTGCAGAATTATCCGTGACATTATTCAGAATCACCTCTTGCAGGTGAGACTAGTTTTGGAATATGTCATACCAATAGTTTAGTAATTGTAACTCCTGAAAAAATAGTTTAGCTACAGCTATTACATACCAATAGCTCATATCTCCTTTTTGTCTAAGTAATGTATGGTAAAGACTTTGTAATCATAGATGGGTTTTTTACCCAAACATTGTCCCTTCCTTCACCGAACAAGTTATTTCTTCTCCTCTTCACTGGCGCCTCTTTCTTCAACAAATTAAAATTTTTTCCCTCCCTCGCTTCGTTCTTCAACAAACTGTAAACTTCTCCCTCTTCCTTCCTTCTCGTGTGCCTTGTGGCCCTTTGTCCAATTGATTTCAGTTCTTATTTTGGAACTCTGTTAAAAGGGATGATTTTTTTTTTAAAAATTCTCATAAAAAGGCAATAATTCGATAAATAACGCGATCATAGATAATCTGCTCAGAGACTTGCATCTAGTATGAAGGTCCATACAGGACTGACATGATGACAGTATCCATCTAACGATGCAAGCTCTCCTCCACTTCATCGATCATAATAATTATTCTCTATGTACAATCCCTTATTTTTTTTATTATTCTTGGAGTGGTGCCATAAATTAGTTATCTGAAACCTGATAGTCTTTACTTCTGAAGCCTAGCCTTTTTTATCTGATAAGTGATCTCCTATGCAGGTTTTCTGCCTCATTGCCATGGAGAAGCCAATTTCAATTAGGCCTGAACACATCCGAGATGAGAAGGTTAAGGTTAGTATTCCAGCAAGTTGGTTTGTATCTGCGAGAGAGAGAGAGAGAGAGAATAAAAGGAAATGGAAATAAAGATCTGCAGCAAAAACAAAAGTAGGTAGTTCTGTGAAATCTTGTGATGACTACCTGAATATACCACAAGATTGAAGAAGGGAAAGAGAGAATAAACCAAAATAAAACATACAAAACTGCAATGGTGAAAAGGTCAACCTTGGTGTTAAGTAAATGTATGCACAGGCATAAGTTTGCTTACATGCAGCTCTTGTTTGTTTGAATTGGTCGGAGTCTCATGCAATTGGCTTTGTGCTTCAGAATGTTGGAAAAAATATACAGAATTTACCTGTTTAAGCACATCAAACTTTTCTTTATGCACTTAGGCAGTAATGTGTATAACTGCAGTAGAAGCCTCTAAAGGTCCAATTGTTATTTTAGGTTCTCCAATCAGTGCAACCAATTAAAGAAGAGGAGGTCGTTCTTGGACAATATGAGGGCTATACTGCTGATCCCACAGTTCCAGACAACTCCAATACTCCTACTTTTGCAACTGTGATTTTACGGATCCACAATGAGCGATGGGAAGGTGGGGCATGTCTGCAGTAAATGGTGTAGTATTGCGTGGTCGATCTCTGTCATTGTTCAATGACAGAATTTTTATTCATACAGCAGCAAACGCTTTGTGGATGTTAAACGAAAAATTAGAAGAGGGTTGACGTTCTTTTTGCTTGGCAAGAATTTTGTGATTGGAACGCGTTTCTGTCCTGACATTGCCATAATCACTTGCTGCAGGTGTGCCATTTATACTGAAGGCTGGAAAAGCTCTAAATTCAAGAAAGGCAGAAGTCCGTGTGCAATTTAAGGATGTACCCGGTGATATTTTCAGATGTATGTATTTCAGCTCTCAAGAAGTTAAAATGAAATAGGCATATGACTGTAGGTTAGGAGCTCTGCTTTTGTAGAAGCTACATCTTAAAGTAGATCATACAATGAGGATAGATCTCGGAGCTAGTCTATGAGGATGGTGATAGAGTTTCTGACTTCTAATCAGTTCTCTGATTGGAAATATTTGCCTGTAAGGTTTCAAGATTGAGAAAACATGCCACCTAACAAAACCCAAGAACTAGAGAAAGAGAAAGGCCTCTATCATTCCAACTTAAACTGAAATGCTTTAATGGTCCTGATTAGTAGGTAGAAGAGCACAGTTTTGCAGTTGAGTCCTGCTGCAACTACTTGATGCTTTAATTGTGTTTGTAATTAGAACTATTAACTAAGCAAAGAATGAAAAAGGTGAAAAGAATAATTTGAACTATTAGTATTAGTTAAGCACTCTATATCGTTTTCTCGTCACTTTCTGCATTACCAAAAAGATCAAAAAAATTTTCTTCATTATTCAGTTTTTCTTCATTAACAAGAAGCGCATATGTTGTAGGTTATTTTCATTGAGCCATACCATGAAAAGAATATTTTGTTCATCCAGGTCAAAAGCAAGGGAGAAATGAATTTGTAATACGTCTGCAACCTTCAGAGGCTATTTATATGAAGCTAACGGTAAGACTGGTTTCCAATCATATTGTAGTTTTCTCTCAGTTACTATTTCTCACACATTCAATTTATGTAATAATCTCATCAAAGGTATAAAAATTGTTAAGATTGCAGGTTTTGCAAATATATCGACAAATAGTTTTGATATTATTTCTCCTTTGTCATTTGGTTGTACGTTCTCATCTTCGATTGTACATTCTTCTCTTTGTAACCTGGGATTAATACATAATATTGAGACTCCTTCCACAGTCAACTTGGCTCTGACCTTTTGAGTGCTCTTATGAAGGTCAAGCAACCTGGGCTGGAAATGTCAACTGTTCAAAGCGAATTGGACTTGTCATATAGGCAGCGATATTCTGGGGTTACCATTCCAGAGGCTTATGAACGTCTAATTCTTGACACGTAAAGATTGTTTTCTCCTATAATTTTAAAGTTCAACCCCATGCCTTTTATGTGCGTATCATTCTGATCAGCAGTTTAATGACGCGAAAAAAGAATTCTTGCATTACATTGGTTCTTAAGCATGCCTTCATAGACATGTGACTGCAATTCTTGATTCTACAGGATAAGAGGCGACCAGCAGCATTTTGTCCGCAGAGACGAGTTGAAGGTACTGTAATGATTGAAATTCTGATTAGATCTCGGAAGATGATGTTTCATCACTGACACAGATCACAATTTCAGGAAGCTTGGGAAATATTCACCCCTCTTCTGCACAGAATAGATAGGGGAGAGATGAAGACTGCCTTGTATAAGCCCGGCAGCAGAGGTCCAACAGAAGCTGATGAATTGTTACAGCGAGCCGGTTATGTGCAAACACATGGCTATATATGGATCCCTCCCACGCTCTAGAGTTGCTGGGATTCCGTTCCGTGCTAATAGCATCCTACTTGCCGAGTAGATGCGGTGTTGTAATGGTTCCATGTACAATATTACCTACTCTGGTATGCTGCCATCCCTGGTGTGCCCCCATAGCAGCGTGCTGATAAAATGCGGATGCACTCGCCGTTCAGATGCTTTTTTTTTTTTTTTCACTATTTTGAGGCATGATTTGTAACATGTGGTATATCGCTACTGCAATGTTGTAATAAGGTTTTTTTGAACGCAATAATACCGAAATAATAATTGCTTCTTGCGCATCAAACACAGAACAGCCACTCGAAATATGAGCACTTTCATTCCAAGGCAATTTAAATTAATTGAAGAGACTGAGCAGAGGTTTACTAACCCAAATTCAGGTGCAGCCTGCGGTCTTGCACAAATATTACACGGGATAGAGCCGAAGAAGACATCATGTACTAGAATGATTGATTATTGGCAGATATCCCACAGTTTGGTACGAGAATTCTAGACAGATTATCCAATGATTGATTATGGGAAGTAGACTGACTACCAATAATATCACATTGCAGGTTAATAATGGAATGGCTATTTCGGTACGTGGCTGATAGATTTAATTGGATATGACACTACTGTTTATATAAACGTGTAAAATTTTCAGTTGCTATCAGCATAGTTACACTGCTAAGGGGCGGGCTCTGCTCAGCCGCAGGAGATTAGTCTGGGTGATTCCAGAATACTCCGGTGTTGACCCAAAAAAAAAGAAAATCAGCATAGTTACAGGGGGGGGGGGGGGCTTTCATTTTATTACTATCAGCATTCATAGAAAAAGATTGAGGCGACGCGGAGTGAGAACGATCAAGAACTACTAAACAGCAAAAGGCACTCGTAATACAAAACAAGTATTCGAAGAAAGAAAGGCCTTTTCCTGTAGAATTAACTGACGCAGACATCTGCCTTTTCCTGTGGCAGTTAGATTTAAGGTGTAGGTGAACTTCAACGACACGGCTAAGCTAAGAATAAGATTTCAGCGCTAATCCATGCTTTTGAGTTGGCAACCACAACTATGTATCATGGAATCACTAAAAAGAAGAGTATATCTACGAAATGCTAATTCTAAATACACGATGGCAAACATCGAAACTCTTTAATATTAGTAGTATTTAAATTTATTGTTTCGTGTTTGTCCCGTATAAGTCATGTGTATTTCAGCATATTCTATTCGCGAAAGAATAGAGAAGTCTCAACCAATATTCAAGTCCAAGTCTCTTTCTTTGCCTTTTTTTTTTTTTTTTGGGCTCGAAGCAAGTCCGAGTTTCTTGCTTACCAAGAATGATGGGAAGAAAAAACATCTCGTCCCAAGTTTTCTCTGGCAAAAGTAAAAGTAGCGTAAAATAATCACCAATCCATTCTTTTCTTGGAAGAAGGCTTGTCGTCGGGAGGCGAGGGACAACTTGGACGCCAGGTTTATCGTTTACCTGCTCCGTAAGCTTTTTCTCTGACAATGACATGGATGCTCCTAGAATCACTCGTAAAGAGAAGAGAGTTCATAAACCATCGGATCTTCTTGTTCCAATGTTCATTAAGTCGAGCGTTCAAATCACCATGTCTGATGCATCACGTCACTCCAAAAAAATATACAGTATTTCTTATTCTTAAAACAAATCTCTACGATAAACGAAACTTTTGGATATCAATAGTTAAAACTAAACCTCATATATAGAAAATCTCTTTCAAATCTAGTTACATTGATGTTGCAGGTGAGGGATTGTTTTCAACTGATTCTATTCTATGCAATTAAAAGCATTGTTGACGCAGTTATTTTTAATTGTATAGCACTAATTGCCAATTTATCCTTTGCCTGAAAATAATCCTACTCAGATCTGAGGTCAAAATTATAAGAATACCCTGCTGTATAATTCACTGTCTAATAAGTATTTGGATTAATCTTTTTTACACTGACAACAATGTACAGTCAGTGTTGGATTAATAACAACTATGCAAAATTTGAATTTCAAATTCAACTTTTACACACGTGTCATGAATCTAACGATGATAGTGTATACACTGTCAGTGTATATAAGATTTACTCTAAGTATTTATTTGGGAACTTTGGAGGACCTCATTTCCTGGTTTGAAGTTCACGTGGGCTTGTCGTTAATTTATTCTCTCACTGTCCTGGCCTTTTTTCTTTTCTTTGTGCAAATAAATCGAGCTGTTTTTTAATTTATTTTTTTTTTTGTTTTAATTAGAGTAGATCGATACCTTAGATGATATTGCATAGAATGGTGGGTTGGGCAATTTAAAGCTTCCACGTCCGAGCCTCGGTTTTAGCTACTTCCAGTTCCAGGGGTAGTTAATTGATTGATTATCTCTTAATAATAAGTAAGTATGGATTTAATAAATTCCAGCGGCCGACTTTTGTACTATTCAAGAAGATATAATGGGGCATTATCATTGCGTCGTATACATTTACCAAAATTTCATCACATTCATTCAAGTCACGGCTAAGCACTCCCAGCAGGGGAAAGATAATAATTATGAAAATCTCAAGAAATCCCTCCCCACCCCCAGAAAAGAAAAAAAAAGAAAAAAAGGAAAAAGAGGGACAGAAAATTTAAAGAATCTCGCACCATATAATGGAAATTCAAAACCACGATCCATGATCCGTCACATCCTCCTCATATTAGTTTAGCCAACGGTGGTTTCAGCCGTGTAAAGGAAGCGGCGGCCAAATTGGGTGGTAGGGCAAGAGTCCGTTGTTCTCTTCTTTGGTAAATAAAAAGTTTGGGCGGTTTTACTTCTGATCATTCTCACGGTCACTTGTCATGGCAGACCTATTTTTGTTTAATTTTATTCCTACATTTTTACTTTTTTCGTCCGGTAGCATGCCAACCACTGCATGCTTGTTCGGTATTTTGATTTTTTCTTGTCTTCAATTAACTATTTTTAATAAAAAAGAACTTTTGAATATTAAAACCCCTTTTGAGACGTATTTTTGTTAAGGAAAAAACATCTCGAAATAATCCATCAAAAAGTCTAATATATAAATAAGTAACCCAACTCTAATCTAAAAGGTTAAACTATTAGGTCTCGCACCCTTATTTACATATTAATCGTTTTTTCTCTATCTCTCGAATAAATATGAAACATAATTATTTATTAATGAATCTAACAAATCTCTCATTTTATATTTACTTTAATATTCAATGCAAACCCACCTTAACACTTAACGTCATATTTTCTCTCAATCATGGACGCACTCTTTTTTAACATTCAATTCGGATTCTTGATCCTTACCTACCCTTGACTCCTTGTTTTAACACCAACTAAACCCCTGCCAAATCCATGGTGCATCTAATCTAATATCAGTCAAATTCTTTAGCATTTTAATCCACCAAAAAAAAAAAAATTCACTGGTCTAAATTCGAGAAGAATCCATTACCCACGAGTAACCTAATTTCGCAATCAAAAACTGTGATAACACTTGATAAGGAATCAAACCAACTATTTGGGATAGAAAAAAAAAAGTAATAGAAAATAATAACTAGTACGAATGATGAGCAACACGCAAGAATTAACGTGATTCGACTTAATCACTAACCTACGTCTACGGAAAAAAAAAACTTGTTCTTACCATGTGAGGAAAAATACTACAAGATTATAACTTGATTCCCAAACCCAATTATTGTATAAGTTTATCACCTACTAAAAACTCTCTCACTCCTATTCTTGTGTGTTTTTATAGAATGCTAATCTATTTATTTATAAACAAAATTATTTAGTCAAAAAATCAAATAACATTAGGAAATCAATGCTACTCTCTAGACTCATTGGAACTAACTTCTAAATTTTAAACAAAATAGGAAATAATTTGGCAACTTCTCCAGGTAACTAAAACCAATTAGAAAATTAGTTATTTTCACACAAAATAAGGATTTTGGCTAAAAGAATTGAGCCAATCTTCTAACATGTTTGATAAACATAATCTCATAAAATTATGAAATGAGATTTTGGTGTTAAAAACACTTTTAACAAAAGCTAAAATTTGATACTTTTAAAATAACTTTTGTGTTTTAAAAAATTAAATATTAAATTTAATCATCTTATCCTATATTATGAATTAAATAGAAACATAAATACATTTAAAAATTTTAAAATCATACATTAACTAATATAATAAATATTTGTTGAACCATATATCCAAACAATGTATTACTTTAAAATGCTTTTATTAAAATCTCTATTAGGTGAAGTATTTTTCAATAAACTATCGCAACCCCAAATAGCCTTTAAGTAATCTTTAATAAAAAAGAAAAGGGAAGAAGAAGAAGACGAAAGGGAAAAGAAAGAAGGCTTAAGATTTAATTTGGCTTACAATTATTATATGTGACGTTATTTTTTTAATTAAGTTTTCACATAGAAAAAGTATTATTCTTGAATATTTTTATAGTTAATCTTACATATATCAATAATATATATATTCTCACGAGTGAATGAATACATAACACACATGCAAAATTTTAGGTTTTATACAATTCATCTAAAGATAAAATGCATACATTGTAAGTAGACTATTCTTTTGCACGCTATCTGAGAGTCGTACTCCCACGGCATCGGGGAGTTAGCGGGCCATGAGCCCAAAAAATGCGTCCATTGTCCAACGCCCATCCGATTCGATACAGGACAAAAAAAAAATATGTCAACTGTAGGGCGCGTAATGGAGCCGTATTACTACCACCGCCAGTGGCAGAGGGTACTAATCGATCGGAGATGGATAGGTTTGGCAAAGTATATGGATTTAATTATTAGCGGACGGACTAGGTGGACACCGGAAGGAAGGAATGGTCTACCGCCCACGCTACACCTCTTCTTAGTAGTAGCCCAAACAAAGAAACAACGCCCTCACCCAATTTCCAAAATAACCCCCAAAACCTCGGTACACCGAATTACTCAACAACACACACACACCACAAGAGTCCCACGCTTCATTCTTTCGTCTCCCACCACGCGTTTGCCTCCCCTCCCTCCCCCCCTTTTTCTTCTCCTCCTATTTACTCCGTTTCTCTCTCCTCCAACAAAACTAGCGATTTTCCTTTTCCTCCCTATCCGATATTTCTCCCTCCCTCTCTTTCTGCTCTCTCTCCCCCCTCCTCTTCTCGTATGTAGTAGTATGTATCTTCCCACAGATATGCACAAAGTACATAATAAATATATCAATTAGTAGAATAATTATAGTGATCATAGTCTTAATAGTGGTGGAACTCAATTTTTAAAACCAGTTTATAAGTTTCTCTTTGGGTATTTGTGTGCTGTGATACTGCAGATTCTGATACTGTTTGTGCATGTATTTTGTACATTTAATTAATGAATGTTGTAATTGGGTCAAAAAAAAAAGAAAGAAAAGTTGATTCCTGTTGTGTGTAGATCCTTTTTATCCTAATCTCCTGTCCCATTCTTGTTCGGAAATCCATTTCACTTCCCCTATCAGCTGCCTCTACATTTTTCTTCCTTCCCGATTTACTTCCGGTCTTTATCTCTCTGCTTCCCCTTCCCTTCCTGTACAAAGCTTCAATTCAGTCTTCATCCCCCATTCAACTCCATTCCCATTTTGCTTTTGAGGCTTCAGCTTCTCGTTTGTTTTTTTTAGATATATACAACCCTCATTCTCCTTCCCAGGTTTCTTTTGTACGTTTTATGTTTTTTTTTTCCTTCTGCGTACACAGGTTAGGTTAGGGCAACCTGCGCGGTTTTTCCCTCTCTCCCCCTCTCTCTGTTTTTTTTTTTTTTGGGCATCTTTAGAGGAAAACCTTCAACATTTTTGGTGCTTTTGTTTTAGTTTAGCTATCAATAGTTGGGGGTTTTCTTTTGAATCCAAACCGTTTTTCTCCTTTTGGGATTTCCTCCAATCAATGGCATTGAAGAATTCTGGATAAACTTTCATACTAATGGGTCTCTTGTGGAGAGGTGCCCAGGTGAAAATTCCAAAGGTTTCGATTCCTATGACTATAACAATCGCGAGGGAAAATCTGACAAGCTATCTTCCGATGATGATATTGTTGATCTATTACCTAGGGATCCCTTTGGTATGGACATTAGCGCCACGTTCACAGCTATTACGGGATGGATTGAGGATTTTGGGTTGGAGAATCTTGGATTTGAGTCATCTAGTGAAGATGATGAGGTTGAAAAGGTGGATGATCAATTCCTTGCCGAGCTAAACATTGTCTGGAACAGTGCCACAAGGCTTCATCCCGATTTGGGCGATATAAAAGCCTATAAAGAATCATCCGTGTCTTCAATGGAATTGGGGTTATGCAATGATCCTAACAAAGAGGATTTCATGGGTTTCAGTTTTGAGAAGTGTTGCACTCCCTGGGATGCAGCTAATAAACATAAATCAGCATCCCCAGCGAAGAATGTTTCCACTGGTGTTCGTGGCCTCCCCCAGATGCTTTGTTTTTTTCTCTTGGCTACCTGGGTGCGAGGGACCTTCTTTCGGTTGAAAAAGTATGCAAATCCTTGCGTGACGCCGTCCGGAATGATCCTCTCCTCTGGCTAAATCTTCATGTCACTTATCCGTTGTGTGATAAGATCACTGATGATGCCCTTTTACGGTTAACGAGTAGGGCTCAAGGCCGTCTGCACAGCTTAAGTATCGTGGAGTGCTTAAAGATCACCGATGGTGGTTTGAAGAAGGTGCTTGAAATGAATCCTGGATTGACGAAGGTTGGTATTTCCTCCGGGGAATTATTCTTCATTTAGTAGTTTTTCTCATTCATTACACTCCCATCTAATATTTTCGAGATTGTGGTGCATCATTATTTTCTCGACAAGGCTGTCTATTTTGCATTTGTAACCAACTTCATTATACTTCAAATTAGTTTAAACTTCTTAAGCATTTAGAGGCATGTCTGTTGTTGCCAAGTGTTTTCTATTGAAGATCCTGCAGCCTACGAATATTACACATTAATGAAGTGGGCCAGTAAAGTTGGTGATTTATGTTTGCAAAAATTACATGGAAATACATTGAGTTTGTATCCTCAAATGAATTTTTTCCTCCATTAAGGTTGCAAGGAAGTTATAGTTTGTACTATTTGTGGGCACTTTTGTTGATGACTTATCTTCTTCTCCTGCATTTTCTAACTTTTAACCTGTAATAGTGTAATATAACAATGGCCATTTTAAGTTTTTTGCTAATCAAACTGTTACTTCTTTTCTCTCTAGCAGTTATACTTAGGTACATATTTGACAGTGTGCCTCTAGGTAATAGCTGTTGGTGGGTGAATGCTCACTTCTCATTGCTTAGTGGAAACATTAATGGCAAATATTTTTCTTGTTGCTCATATTGCTTTTAACTGGAAATGTATCACGATATTCCTGTATGATCTATGTGGTTTGCTTTTCTCATTACTTTATTCTTTTCTTGTAGCTAAGCATTGCGGGGTGTCTAAGACTCAGCGTTGAAGGGACTTTGAGCAACTTAAGGTTCTTCAAGTCTGTAGGCAGACCTGGAATTAAGCATTTAAGAATTGGTGGACTTTTTGGTGTAACCAGCCAGCATTTTGAAGAGCTGAAGCTTTTATTGGGCGCAGATAAACAGAATTGGGTCAGCGTCAACAAACCACGGTTCTTCCATGCAGAGCAGTTGTATCTGTCCTTTGATGATGAGCGCCCTATTGACATTGAGATATGTCCAAAATGCCAACAACTCACGACAGTGTATGACTGTCCAGCTGACAGCTGTAGGGGGAAGCAGCACACTGCCCAGGTGTGCAAGGCCTGCACATTTTGCATTGCTCGTTGTATAAACTGTGGGCGGTGCTTGAATAATTGTGATTACGAGGAGACATTTTGTCTCGACTTCCTTTGTTTGGATTGTCTGAAGCAGGTTTTGAATTGCCAGGATAGGCAGAAGAGAGTGACTATTTCGCCAAAGCACACTTATCTTCACCAACAGGCAAGTTACCATTTCTTCCTATATGGCTAGAGGACTATTATGATGTTAGATACAGCTCCTCAGATTGTCAGTTGAATGTTGTACGAGATTTGTATGGTTTCCCAATAAAGCACGTTTTGTTGAACAGATCCATAGACTTTAGTTGGGTGTAGATAGTGTATTTCTTTATTCACTCTGGTATCAGGACAGGCTATGGAATAAGGCACTACCTCTGGAGATGACATTTTGATTTTTATTGGAAAAAGGAAGGAAGTCTGCAGGCCCTGCATCTACCTGGGAGGTCCTGGTCTTGTTGTATTATGTGTTTGACAATCTTGCTTTCATTAGCATCTGCCTCCTAATGCTGCGGGGAGCCTTTAAAAAGGGGAAAAACAAGAAAAAAGAAAAAAAAAAAAAGAAAAAGAAAAAAGGGGAGTGAGAGAGGAGAGAGAGAGAGAGTGGAATGTTGAAGGTATTTGCTCAGAAGCGAATTAATGGAATTGAGTAGTTATTTTACCACAGTGGGCTGGATGTTTCGATGCTATTCACACATTTAGCGGCCATGGATTATTAATCCGAAGAAACACAGGTGGACAGAAGACCGAATTATGATGCTGGTTACTTGACATCCTTGTTCCAAGGTTTGTTATTGAGAAATATGAAGACGGTAAATGATGTTGTTGCATGAAAATGAGGGGAGTTTGCGGCTGATGAAGGGATCACGGGTCATGTTTGTTGGAAGTGTAGGCAAAAATTATTATATGTATGTCCGAAGTCTTCCCGGTCGTTATGGTGCTTCTCTTCGGTACTATTCTTGTTTGTATTGTAAAATCTGGATATATTTACCTGTATTAGCTGAAGGAGGCGTGACTGAAGATCAGATGCCCTGATCACGAGTCACCCGTACCCGTGTTGCTAATGTTGTGAGTACATTATTATTATTGATCAGGAAATGATGAAATAGCACTTAAAGGTCATATTTGTTGGCTTAAGATTTGAGTTTTGCCTGTTTTAGAATCTCCAGTATTACTTTCGTTTCTTTGTCGTTTTTAGATACAAAAATATTTGGTACAAGTGAGTTGGAGTTGGTTAATGAAGAGAGCCTTGATGTAATATCCGTTCAAGTTCTAGCTAATTCCTATCCAGGTTGGTGACTGTACGTTGCAATGCACATTAAGTAAGAGAAGCAGACTTTTGAGTTTCAGGAAACAGTTCTCCAGAACTAGAAGGGAAGGATCGTTCATTTAATTAATTTATTTATTTTGAAGTTTTGGACAATTTATATGCATTCCGGAATTTCGATTCCTGCCGCCTGAACCATTTAAGAGGATAGCCGGCCAGGCCTTAACAGATAACGCTATCTATTCAATGTAGCGCATGGCCTTTTTTTTTTTTTGTAACCCGAAACATGCCCCAATTCGAGCCCTTAGGATCCGAGCCGGCACACCAAATCGGAGGGAAGTCGATAACCCCATACAGCTTTTCCGAGCGAGTCAGGATGTGTAGCACAGCGGACATGAATTGAATCCGGATCAGTGGGGAAGCCAGCAACTCAAGGCCGACCCTCAACTGTTGCGCCATATGCCCTGAGGGCGCATGCCCCCCCTCCTCCCCTCCCCTTTTTTTTTACCCCTTTTTCCAATATATTATAGTGCACAAAAGTCAAAGGCACAGCAACTCAAGGCCGACCCTCAACTGTTGCGCCATATGCCCTGAGGGCGCATGCCCCCCCTCCTCCCCTCCCCTTTTTTTTTACCCCTTTTTCCAATATATTATAGTGCACAAAAGTCAAAGGCACAGTACTTCCTTCGTCCATTGAAAACTTCATACTTTTTATTTTAAAATGTTTTAAAATATTTGTTACATTAAAAAAATCAAAAAAAATTTTAATATCTTTTTTCAATATAATCTTTCTTTTTAATCATATGCATGTTATCATTCAAACTTAAGTTTTAAATTTATAGAGATAGAATTAAAAAGAGAAGTATAAACATTACAATCAAATCACTATTCTTAAAAGTTTGAATTTCCCAAATATGACTAAATAATTGGGACAGAGAGAATACATCTTTTTTACAGAAAAATGAGAAATCTTTTGTAAAGATAATAATACTTCCTTTTAACTGTGAAGGGGTAAAGGTCACTTGAGACAATGGGGAAAGTTTTTTTTTTTTTTTGGGAAAATTGGGCATTATTGGCTGTGAATTTAATCGCGCTTGCATTGCAATAAACCATCATGTTCCTGTCACCGTGTTGACGGAAAACTGCATATCTCAAACTTGAAGGCTGCAGCACCCGGAATCACAACCATTACAGGAGACGCTTCGCCTTCCATTCGCCACGTGCTAAGACAGTGAAGTAAAACCCACGCCTTCAATGACCGCAATCTAAGAGCGTGGTTTCCCGTCACCTGATTCCAGAGAAACGCTCAAGTGAAAAATACATCAAACGCCTGAAATATCACCGTCAATCAGTCGGGTGAACTGTTTCTGGTATAGTAGCCAGTATATATGCTTGGTCCAGCCGCGTCCACTACCGCGACCCTCCTCCTTCTCTCTCAGAGTCCAAACACCGTCGTCATCTGAAAGTTAAAATCCAATCTCCTACGCCACTCTCCTGCTTGAATACTATGCTTCTAACGGCTACGTAAATGTACTTGGCCCATAGACCTCGTCCTATTGATTCCTACAAAGATTTATCATCAGAAGAATTGGTGATGGACATTACTCCCCACGTAGACCTGCAGCAGCAGCAGATGATTTTGGCCGACAGCGGCGGCGAGGATCACGAATTGAGGGCTCCCAAGAAACGGGCCGAAACTTGGGTCCAAGATGAGACCCGGAGCCTAATTGCCTTCAGGCGCGAGGTGGATGCATTGTTTAACACCTCCAAATCCAACAAGCATTTGTGGGAGCAAATCTCCAGCAAGATGAGGGAAAAGGGTTTCGACCGTTCCCCGACTATGTGCACGGACAAGTGGAGGAATCTGCTCAAGGAATTCAAGAAATTGAAGCAGCAGGATAGAGGAAATAATAACTGCAATAATAGCGGGAGTGCCTCTTCGGCTAATAAGATGTGGTATTACAAGGAACTGGAGGAGCTGCTCAGAGACAGGGCTAAGAATGGTTCTTACAAGAGCCCTCCTCCTCCTCCGCCGTCTGCCAAGGTTGAAGCTTATATTCATTTCCCAGATAAAGGAGGTAGGACTCCATACTTGGTTGTTCTCCTTAGTTTTCAATTTTCTTGGCTTTTGGATACATTGTGATTAGGCCATGTAACTATGCACGCTGACTGGTTTTTGTCTGGCCAAGGGGGAGTTCAGTGTGGTGAGTGGACTTGTTCTAGTATTTGTTTTATGACGGGTGTGTGTTGTATGAATTTTAATGAATATTTACAGATTATTATCATAGCTTTGTAGGAGCTTGATGTTGGAAAAACCTTGTTTCCATCCTTCATTCTTTTATATTAATGTAGCCATTTGTTGGTTATTTGCTGCATCCTGAAAACATACTTGGATTTTGAGAATCACTTGAATCAAAAAGTGGAAATATTCTGTGTTAGCTATTATTCCTAACAGAATGATTTTAGGATTTTGTGATGCTTGACAAGAGAATATATTATAATCTGATCTGATTCTTTGTCCTGTAGTTTAGCCTTGCTATTTTTATTGATTCAAATAACAGAATAGAAGTAGAACAGCTACTAAAAGTTGCCCTTCGATTTGCAATCCTGCGACTGTGTCATTCTATGTCAATGTTTAGCTATTGACATTCAGAAGATATAGGAAGGAACTTGCTACCTTGTTAGTTTTGTTGCTTGTGTTTTAGCTTCTCTTTGCATGCCTTCTGTTATGGAAATCTTATTTTTTATTCCTGCAGCAAATGAACCCACAATTATGGCTATGAGGTCTTAAGATACCTTTTGACTTTTATTTACTACTTTCAGGTCTTGAGGATGGAAGTATTCCATTTGGATCAGTGGAAGGTAAAGGACGTGAGGGGAATTTGGAACTTTTTGGTCATGTTTGAAGAAGTCTTCTTAAAGAGTTTTTAGCCATAGTTATTGTTCTTGTGCTCTTGATAGTCTCATCTTGGGATGTGCTGTCATTTTTGAGAAGTAGATGAGTAAATTCTTCCACTGACTACATTGCATAAAATCAGATCTTCAATAAGTTCTAACCTAAAACTTCTGCAAATAATAAGAATTTAGAATTCGAGTAATTATGTCCCGAGTGGAAGTTCTAAATGTTGAGTTAGAGAAGGATAAGTATATGAGAACCGTTTATCTTTGTTAAACAGTGAAATTTGGCCTATCTATGCTTGACAAGAAGTTGAGATTATTTAATTTAGAAGAATGGATTACAACTCAGGAAGTTAAAGCAACAACTTGCATCTGCCTTTTTTTGTAGTGAGATGTCTATCTGCATGAAACCTTTAAACTCTGATCTCTAACACAACTATTATAATACCTAAAAAGAATTATTGCATTTGCCTTCTAATTTGCAACATTAGATTGGAAGAAATATGTTGTACATGTTTAGTTAGTAATTTTTGAATGACAATAATTTCCTAGTTGTAATTTGGAATAAACTTATAACAGTACTTGCTAATTAATAACTGGATTATGTGCCTTTCATGGCTGCTGTCATTTTCCCCATCGATAGATGTAGAACTTCGAAATTTCTTTAGGAATGAGTCTCTCAAATGTCCCTGAACCTTGTGAACAGAAAATGGCAGAGCCAGTGTGAACCTTGAAACACCTTTAGATAATGATGGTGACCCTCTTACTATTACTGCTGCTGATGCTGTTACAGCCAATGAAGTTCCTCCTTGGAATTGGAGGACTAGCCCCGATGCTGGTATGTGTCTAATAATGGTAAAGTTCTTTGTTGCTAATGCTCTTTCCTGAGATTCAGTTGATATTTTCCCCCTCTAATGCACTCTCTCAAATTTCATTTAGATTTGTTTTTTGAATATTGTCTGCATCTTATAGGAAACAGGATTTTAATCATAGTTTTCTTCTAATCTTGTTTGTTTTCAATGCTCAAGTCTTAACCTTTGACACCTCTTGGGAAAATAATCATAAATTGTACCAGTGATTTGGGTCATTTGTATATCATGAATCATCATGGCTTGTGGCCCTTTACTATGTGACCAAAAACCATCAGGAGTTTTAGAGGGATCAGTGGCCATTGACCATGGACAGGTTACATTCTGAATTTTGTCAGGAGGACAACTAGATACAAGTGATAATCATGAGGAACATCTAAATAATTTATTTGCAGTTGCTTGAATGGTTTACATCTTCTACAGGAACACTGATAAAAATTTAGTAGATTTTTCTTGCTAATGAACAGAATGCATGTCCAGTCATCAGTGGATAAGAAGCACATGTTTACTTGCCAAAAACATGGTTTGTTTCTTGATTCGTCATGGTGACTTCACTCCATCTCCAGTGGTCTTGTTAAAGCATTTTTAACAGTGTTTGCAATTGAATTTGGAGATTGCATCGTTTATTGGAGGGATATCATACAAGCATCAGATTTTCATGAAGGTTGCATCTTAAGCTTGTCAAATGAGTTGCAGTATCTGCAGGTCCAGATGGTTGGATTTCTTGAGTTGATGAGTAACTTGAACTTCATATAAGAATCATGCTTATTGTTTCTTCGGACTGGTGTTTTCTCGTCTGCAACTGGTCAATTTAAGCAGATGCAATACTGTCATTACCGCAGGCAGTGATGGACACCCTTCCTATGGTGGAAGGGTTATAACAGTCAAGTGGGGCGAGTACAGGAGAAGAATTGGTATAGACGGAACTGCTGATGCCATCAAGGAAGCGATCAAGTCTGCTTTCAGCTTGCGTACCAAAAGGGCATTTTGGTTAGAGGATGAGGACAGCATTATTCGGACTATTGACAGAGACATGCCTCTGGGAAATTATACTCTTCACCTTGATGAAGGTATGCTAGAACCGGGGAAAGTTTTTTTTCTTG